TGCCAAGCGACGAAAACCCAACCCCGATGGCAAACACCGGGGGGGGAGTGGTGGGGGGCACGATAAAGTATAGCGTGCGGTCACAAATCTCTGGAACGGGGGGGTTGTCGACCAAGGCAATACCGATACATCCTCCGCTCCGAAATATTCCGGGGTCCCGCAGGCGTGGTGGGTGTCCTTAACCTTGCCGTATACCGCACCATTGAGCTACTGAGGGAGAACCTTAGATGTGCATGATGTGCGATCTCGTTAACCCTTTCGTAACCTTGCCTTGTCGATATGTTTGAGGTCTTGTCGTCGCAGCCTTTAGACGTTCTATCGCTGTTTTAGCCCGCGCCTCCCTTTTCAGCATTTGCTTGTATTCATCCGTGGGTCTGCGCGACCTGACCTGACGTGCGCGTCGGCTTTTGTTGGCGCCGTGGAAATTGCGAGCAAAGCAAGGACTTGATGGCATCCTCCCCCTCCGTTGTGGGGGTCGTCCTTCGCTCTCGACAGCAAGCGCTGCGCATTTACATTCAATCACAGCAACAATACGGGAGGCTAAATGCGTCCATATCTAGAAGAGAAACTGGGATGATCGATACAGGCGAGGGACCCTTTTAGTGCCGGTACGTGCACAGAGCGTTCACCGGCACTAAATCGGGCACCCGGCACTATTGCGAATAGTGCCAAAACGGCACTATTGAGGGCTGGCCAATCCCTCATTAGTGCCGGTACCGGCACTAATGAGGTTGTGTTCGATTTATGGTGTAGCGCCCACGCTTACGGGGCCAACAAAGAACGAAATGGATCGACACTATTACTGTACTGTTGAGTGAAGTTCCAGCATGGGCGTGGGCAGAGTTGAGTTTTCTTTTTGTTGTCTTGGGGCGCTCTTTGGTTCTTCATTTTCTTCTGCACCTCACTTATTTGCTTATTTGTGTACTGTCGTCGGGACAAATTCTCTCCTGTTTGCCTGGCGCACCCGCTTCGATGTTGCAAGAAAAAAAAAACAAGCACGACAGGCAGCGCACCGCAAAAAATCAAACAACCGTTACCACAGCTGTAACCCCTGCCCTCACTACTGTACGTCGGGACAAATTATCTCCTGTTTGCCTAGCGCACCCGCTCATGTTGCAAGGAAAAAAAAAAAAACGACAAGCACGACAGGCAGCGCACCGCAAAAAATCAAACAACCGTTACCACAGCTGTAACCCCTGTCCTCACTACTGTACGTCGGGACAAATTCTCTCCTTGTCTGGCGCACCCGCTTCGATGTTGCAAGAAAAAAAAAATAGCATGCACGACGGGCAGCGCACCGCAAAAATCAAACAACCGTTTTTTTAGTGCCACAGCTGTTCCCCGCCCTTACTCCGTAGCAACAAACTCCCTCATGTCTGCCTGGCGCCCCCGCCTCTTGGAATGCGCTGCAATCATCGCCATCTTCGCTTTCGCTAGGTAGAGCGCCGCGTCTCCATTGCCGCTCTCCTCTGCTGCCGCTTCCAGGACGCCGAAGTGAGACGACAGTTCACCATAAGCCGGTGGGACACGGCGCGCGAGCCCCGTGTTGTCATCGCCGCTGTCCTCCTCCTCGTCCTCCTCCTCGCGGCCGGTAGACACTCGAGTCCCAGCCAGCTGTGCCGTCATGTCTTCCACCGTATCCTCTCTGAGAGCCTCAACCACTTCATCGTCGTCCTCGATGGTAGCCCACCCTTGAATCGCGTTCACCGCTTCCTCCAGGAGCGGCTTTCCGGGTTCGATGCGGAGTTCGGCGATGAGTTCGGCGATGTCCTCGTCCTCGATTTGGGTACCCTGCTTGTGCGCCTCGTGCACGCTCGTGCTCAACGTGTTGAGAGTCTCCGTGAGAGCCTTCAAGGTAGGCTCGGCGACGTGGAACTGGGACTTTCCGTGTTGCTTGGTGAGCTCAGCGGCCATCTCGTCCGGAAGAGTCTCGGCTTTGACAAAGCACCTGATCCCAGGTAGCGCAGAAAATGTCATGCATACGTTTGTGGGTGGACAACAAGCGGATGTTAGATGAACCCAGGGACGATCAAAGACTCATAGGCGGGGGAGGACTCAAGTTTTTGCGAAAAGCAAAGAAGATATGTATTCGGATGTTGGAAAACTCAGTCGAAAACAATATAATCTATCCGTACAACCTTACCCACGTTACCTTTGTACCACCAAAGCTATGTGCACCAAGGCGCGAGTTGAACAGTTTACATTATAAACAGCGATTGCACATGCTCAAACCTCACCTGGCGATGTCCTGGGCGGTGACGCTGGCCCATGCTTTCTGGAGAAGTTCAGCGGCATCCCGCACGTGAGGTTGGTGCCCTTGCGCCAGCCCCATTGTCCCGGCCTTCATTTTGCGAGCTTTGGCCTCGGCACGAAGGGTGTCAGCCACCAACATGGTCGATGTCTTCACATCGAGCAGCTCCTTCCTGTAGTTGCACTTTGTCTCGGCGATGATCCCCAGATCCATAGGCTGGTGTACGGAGGTGCAGTTTGGAGGGTAGAACTTGATGGTAACTTGCCCCCGATCATCCACTAGATCACCGTGAGAAGCACAGCCGTCCATCAGAAGCAGCACAGGTTCGTGAGTGAAGCGCCGAACGAACGGGAGGAAGACCTCACACCACCACTTGCGGAAAGTCGCGGTGTCGGACCAGGCGTTGGCCTGCGAGAAGTACTTGAGAGGTGAAGGCGTGTCGTTGAAGCAGCGGGGACCCTTTGCCTTCCCGATGATGGACATGTCAACCTTTGCAGTGCCGTCGGCATTGGCGCACATGATGGCAGACAGTCGATCCTTGAAGAACATGCCCTTGGAGCCCCGCGCCGTCTTCCGATCCTCCAAGTTGGAGAGGTACGTGCGCCTGGGCATGAGCTTCCACTGGAGGCCTGTCTCGTCGACGTTAAAGATGAGCCTAGCCGGGTACTTTGCGCAAAGGGCCTTGAGTTCCTCCATGGCTTCCTTGATGGCCTCCTTGTTGACGCTACCAGCCTCGCCATGAAGTCTCACGCTGTCGATGCTGTTGCGCTTCACGAAGTTCCTGGCCCACCTTTCGCCGGCCTTGAAATCCTCGACCCTCGCCTTCACTTCCTTAGAAGCTGCTGGATCAGCCAGCAGGGTTGCCCTGGCGGCACGGCCGAAGCTTCGAAGGACGTCGCGCGTGACGGGCATCTTGGTCTTCCGGGCTTTCTCTAGTAGGTCAAGAGCTATGGCGTCCACCTATTGACCGTCAAACGAGGAGTAAACAATAAAGAGGGTACAAAAGATAGCACGATTAGTTTCGAACATTAAGCCTCGTTGCACAGTGCATCGTAGTGGGAAGGAAACATTTCCGGGCATTTGAAAAACCACAGAAGCTCGCCGCTGCATCCGCATGTGTATTTATGTATTGTAACTCGTTTGAAAGAATAGGTGTGCGTGCGATGTAATGTACCAGTACAGTACAAACAAGTACACATTTTTGGTTCGCAGTTTATATGCTGGCGCAGCAGCGCACGAACGATAAAACAACAAAGAAAGTTGAAAAAAAAGGTAACACAAAAAAAGACACAAACGAACGACGAGAGGGAATAAGCTCAACAAGTACTGTAACAGTCGAGAAATAGAAGAAACATGGGGAAAGGGAACAGAGAACA